TTAAATTTATTTATTTAAATTTGATCGGAGAGGGACAGAGTGAGAGAAAGAGAGGGAAAGTGAGAAAATAAGCCTCCAGGTCCAGAACTTGAACTGCGGTCAAGCCATATGGAAGTCCAGCACCCTTAACCACCACACCACCTGCCCATCCCTCCTCCTCTTGCCACTATTAAATGCTCAGGGCTCTAGAAATCACTCAAGAAGTCTAAGTGGACATCACCACCACCAATGCAGTGGTGTGATTCCTTTGGTCATAGTGTCTTCCAGAGAGGATTACATTTCTCAGAGCCCTCTGCTGGCCCCACATCAACAGTATTTTGTCATCATTGATTTTCTGCTAAGTATTAAGTACTTGGTAGTTTTTTCATTAAGGAGTCCTAATTTTGAGAAATGCTTAATGTTTTTTGTTGTATAACCCTCCTTTCACTCTTTCACTACAAATAATTGAAGTTGTGGTAGAATCACAAGAGCTCACACTGTATTGATTTGCAAAAAGACAATTATCCACAAATGCTTTAAGTGCCTGTAGTCAGGCTCTAGACATGGATACAAGAGTAAACATGACCAGGCTCCTGCCCATGTAGAGTAAAAGATTAGATGAATAATTCCAATGCAGTGTGTTCCGAGCCCAAATAATACCTGGATCTTAGAGATAAATAAGACTTTGTCAGGTAAGGAAAAATATGGGAGAAATAATTCCAGGCAGAGGCTAGCATGAGAATATGCAATGTGTTGAGAAAACAGCATCTCAGAATCAGAAACCACTCAAGCTTCACTATAATTATCATAGTTTCCTATAGTCTGATAGGAAAGCTCAGAACTTTGGCAGAGGAGAGCAGTCAGTCTGCACAGAGGAGGCCTTGTGCCTGTGCCCTGCCATCCCAGGATGTTGGTTGTTCTGTCCTGCAGTTGCATCTTCTGTATGCCATGAGCCAGCACTTCTGCAGCCCTTACTTTCTGACTTTCTTTGGTCACAAAGCCATCAATATCTTTCATTTTTTGCTTCTAAAGGCATGAGACAGGAATGAAAAATCACTTCTAATAATTTTTTATCATTATCACATTTAATGCAATTTTGTATTGTGTAGTTTGATAATACTGCTATTAAAGTTTATAAGCCTAAGTAAATACAAAATCATTTCCCGTAATTGGCTTGAGCAACTCCTTTGCTCAGGATGTGATACGACTGCTCACTTTTTGTTGTTGTTACCAGGTAATGTTTGCCATAGTCAGGAAATTCTGTTGGAAAAATCCAGTATTACTCAAATTACAAAAGTATTATCTCTAATACTATCATTTTTGGTGCAAGTAGGAATTTTAAGAGGACTCATTCTTTCAATCATCACAAGCTGTATTATTAGTGGTATTGGGTATTGTCACAGGATCTCAAATTTTTGCTGTTCATAACTATTTATCAATGGAAAATAAGCATAATTTCCAAATGAAAAGAGAAGAAGGAAGATAGTGTGGCAATGCTTAATGCTCTACTACAAAAACATGCCCTTAGTTATTCCAAATGGCTGCTGGAGAGTCATCGTTTCCTGGTGTGATGACCTCACGCAAAGAACAAGCGTGTTCTTTGACACGTAGCATTTGCTAATCCATTTCCTCCGATGCTAGGGCCAGTGTATTCCTAACTTTTATATACAAACATCCCAAAGTCCTTAATTGTATTATGCAAGTCTATTTCTAACTGGATGACCATCTTTAAAAGCTTACTCCATTTGGTATAATGTCTTAGTGGCACCCTGTGCTGTGCTGTCCATTTCATCGTGCTTCTATATACAAACAGGCGCTGAAATTTCATTTAACAGGCACTCAGTTCATCTTTTTTTTTGTGACTGTGCAGCTTTTCATTTGTTAATGAAATCTTCTACTTTTATTATTTTCACATTTTTCCTTTATATTAACTTAATTTTTTTAAATTAAAGAGCCTATTCTCACAATCTGCTCTGATGTTTGCTGCTGTACACATTTCATGTCTCCTTCTGTCTTTAATCTTACCTACCAGTGCATGGGTACAGAGATAAGTGTTTTACTCAGTCAAATCCCAAACCTTCAGCTAAGGAAACAGTCCATAATCAAGGTACTGTATTATGTGTCCCAGTGTGTCACTCTCTTAAACCATCTTCATATGAAACATACACATTACAAGTGACTTTATCATATTCATTTGTCAAATGATATCCTTTATTCTCATCCACATTCTGAATTAACTGTGAGTCCGTTTACAAAAAATTAACACTTGCCATAATATCTAAGCCAAGCTTATAGATTATACATTGGGTTGTCAAAAAAGTTGTGAAGTATTTTTCTGTTTTTCTCTGTAAAAATGCATCATGACTTTTCCAGCAACTCAACAAAAAGATTGTTGCATGTTAAACTAAAATCACCTGCAAATCCTTTGCTTGGAAACTGGTCTCCTGACCCCATAAATGCTTACAAAGAGAAGGAGAGAGAGAGTAGCAGATGTGACTTATCATGGTGACATCTAGATACTTAGAAATATGGCTCGAAGAAGAGCCTTTCCAGATCTAGAGCAGAAAACCCACTTTTGGGAAACAGGGACTCCATCACTGGGTTTAACCACAGTCTGTAAGTGTTTCTGAGGGACTCTTGTTTTGAAGGTGCCATCATGCTAGTCAAATTAGTGAATTAGTGTGTGCCCTTATATTTGGGATGTTTAATGTTAATAGCTTCATTTGCATGTGGGAATTATTATTTTTTTCTAATAAATATAATTAAGGTCAAATTATAAGACTTCTAGCAATTTAGTTTGAGTTTTCTCGTAGAAGACATTTTCTTCTGGCATATATTTTAAATAAAGCCTGCTAATATTCAGTGCAACATACATTACTAAATTTATAATTTCTCATTATTTTTCATGGACACTGGGGAACAAAACTACGATATAATCTTTACTGATCTAGAATTACATCATTTTGGCCTCATAGTCAAATATTAGTTCCAAATTCATCTTCAGATTTTCAAAGATTCAGCAAATTTCTAGTTTATATCTTAATCTAGAGTTCTTGTTAAATTGACTAAATAAATAGAATACACTTTTCATGAAGCCTAGAGAAAATGAGTTAATTACTCAGTGTTCTCCTTCCTCGGCTTCATTACTGCTCCTGCCTGCATTTTTTTGTTTCCAGTGTCAGTGCATTCTTTCTACTTACTCTCAGAATTTACTTATAAGTACTGAATTATCAAAATAGGAAGTCAGAGTTGCTCTGGGTGACTGCTCAGGTCCTCTGAGCCTAAGATTGTGTGATTTTCAAGTACTGTACTAAGCAATGCTTATGTTGCAAAAATAAATGGCAAATGACCAGTAGGATCCAGTTAGCTTAATTAACTCACTATTACCTCTAAAACCATGATCCAGAGCATGCGCCTTTTCCCCCAGACCATTCCCACATCACAGCATCTCACTCCGTTCTTTTGGCTCTCGTGAAGGTGTGTGGGCAAGTCTTCGCTCGAGCACCCGCTTGATCAGCTCTCCAACGTCCTTCATCGATGTTGGCGCCCGGCTGGCAGGCAAGGATCACTCAGGCTCCTTTAGTAACAGCGCCTATCTACAGAATCAGCTCTTGAAACGCCAAGCAGCCCTTTATATATTTGGTGAAAAGTCACAACTGAGGGTAAGATTTCTGTTTCTCACTTTATGGACACATTAAGGCAGTTTATAAAACCCATGCTACATATCAGCTTTCCCAGATTTTTTTGTGGTTCTTAACCTGGAGTTAACCTCAAACAAAAATTAGCTCTCTTTATGTACTCACACACTCACGCACATGCACACGTGCGTGTATGTATATTGACATAGATAAATATACATATGCATATGTATTACCCATGAAAATATTCATAATCATAAAAAATAAAAATTGGAGATATGAGGAAGTGTTCATACAAAAAAGAAATAAGGCTTACTCAGACTGTGTTTCCTACAGTCTTGATTCCATTTCCACGGGAGTCTGTGCCAATGGCAGAACAGATGGCTTTGTTGTTGTAAACCTGTTGATAATGAGAGGTCCAGGGAGGTGGGGAGAAGGGGAGAAGAGACGGTGGCACCGCAGACGGAGGCAAGCAAGGACCAAGACTGGTTTCTAAGTAACGTTTTTTAAAACTTAGCAGATTTGCACGTATAGAGACACATGTCCTAACATGTCAGAAACGTCACGGTATTGAATGCTAATCCACTTTATGATTACTATTACATTATAATGCTAAAGAACTTTACTATGCTAAAGTCCCACAAATTGGAGTGATAACCTCTGACTCCAAAAGCATGGGTTATTTCTTTATTTTCATGTTTTGCAAATCACACATCACAAAATAAATTTGACTACTACTTTCAGGCATGTAGGAAATGAAAGTGTTTATTAAGTCAGAAATCCCCTGAAAATTTAGCCCAGTGCTCCAGTCAGAACTGGACAATCTGGACAGACCTCTGGCTGAACCGCAGAGTAGAGACCGTGAACAGGATGCTCTCAGCAGGATCCCACATGCCTGGCCCTTCAGATGCCAGTGCTGAGTCATCTCTTCTGTCACAGGCTGCTTTGCTAACTCTTCTCCCACTGCCAGGATTGCTGCAGTCACTTAGTCACAGCCTTTATGATCGAGAGCATGAAACTGCTGTGTAATGCGCAGAGTTTAATCTGCATACGTGTCTTCTGATACAGCAGATAATTTCACATCCAGAAAATAGTTGGAACATTTCTCAACAGCAGTCCAGGGTTGCCTACACAGCCTCTCTGGCACCAGTGTTGTTTTCTAGAACACAGACTTTCCACATTTCAGCACACCACTTGCATGATCTGTCAGTCTCTGAGCTGTGGCTCCTGAATGCCCACCCCTGCCATTTTCTTTGCACATTGTCCTCAGGTTAGCTGTGAGATCATACATATTTGAGTAAGGAAGACTGACTACTTAGGACCTTTGCTTTCTCCTCCCTCCCCTCTTTCCTTCTTCCATCAATAAAATACTATTTTTTGTTTGTTTTATTACTGAGAGCACTGCAAGAGAGAGTGAGAGAGGGAAAGAAAGAGAGAGAGGGAAAGGGAGGGCGGGAGGGAAAAAACGGACCAACCCCCAAGGGGTATCATCATATCATAGTACTTTTCCCTTCATTTCTCTACCCCATCAGGATTTTGGACATGCACATACATGTGCCTAGCATGTTTTTGTTTTCAAAGAGAGTTTTTTGCTCTAAGGGTACATGTGCTCACTGGAAAGACAGAGAGAGACAGAAAGCAGTAAGTCACTCCCCTGGGAGGATAGCCATGCCACAATCCCCTCTCCTCCAGGCTCCTCTTGGTATTTTGGGCATGCATGCACATGCACCTGGTGTTTCAAGGCACTGGGTCCAGGACTCGAACTGTGGTCAACTACATGGGAGTCTGGTGATGTAGTCATTATTCCATCTGCTGGTTCCAACCCAGCATGTTTTTCAAGCTGCTGGGGCTGAGATTTGACCAGTAGATCTCTGGTTCTTTATGTAAAGTGCTTAACCACTGCAATATGGGCCAGCCCAATAAAGCATTATATTTAAAAAATGTAATTCCACCATATAGGCCTAACAGCTGTTAACAATTTTACATATTTCACTCAGATTTTTTTATTAATTCAACTAGATCTGTAGCATGACCCTATCTTTCTAACAGGTGCCATATTCAAACTAGCACAGTGCTGTCTATTTACAACTCCGTATCTTTTTCTCCCAGCAAAGGATGTGTAAAGTACAGCCAGTAAGTGACAGTGAGTTATTTTTAAAATACTCTTGAATCTGGCCGTTTTTACCTTTTGAATTCACATGCTTTAGTATTTAATTAGTAGTAACCAATTCTTTATAACTTCATAATGTGCTTCACATTGTAATTAGTAACTTCTAGTTTGTTAGCTGGACATACTTGTCTAGCTCATATAGGGTTGGAAATTAGAATCTATTTTTCCTGAAAAGTAAACTGTTTTAGAATTATTTATTTATTTATTTATTTATTTTTTGCTATAGGGCACACGCACTTACCAGAGAGAGACAGGTACTAAAGTCCCTTATATGAAACAGCATAGTATTATATGTCTATAACCTAAGCACATCCTCTCATATATTTTAAATCATCTCTACGTGACTTATAACACCTAATACAATATAAATAGCATGTAAATAGCTGTTAGGCTGTATTGTTTAGGGAATAAAGACGAGGGGCAAAGTCTGTACTTGTTCAGTGTAGACACAACCATCATAGCGCTAACTGCATAGTCCGCGTCAGCAACAGCGTAACATTTTCCATCTGCGGTGGTTGGATCTGCTGATGCAGAACCTGTGGATAGAGAAAGCCAACTGCATTTGGTGTTAAAGTTCCATCAAGTTCCAGCCTATCAGTTTTCTCTTTGAGTTCACAGAATGACAGCATTCTTAAACGGAGCAGTCTACCTCTAGAAGGACTAGAGCTGCCATTGCAGACAAACCCCTAGGCCTCACTGAATGACCTTTTCCTAGCAGCACGGACTCGTCAGCCCCCAAACATTGACTTGGGTGACTCACTGCAGCCTCAACTAATCTGTATCGTTAAGCCATTGCCCTGTTGAAAACATTGCTCTTTTTCACCTGTAGCTTTTCATCTGCCTAATTCTCTGCATCTTCATCCACAGAGCTTCAAGCTAGAATTTGCTTTAAATTGTGAGTTTATTCCTGTTGAATTTCATGAAATCCGACAAGTGAAAGCCAGTTTTAAAAAGCTGATGAGGGCTTGTATCCCAAGCACCATCCCTACTGACTCAGAAGTGACCTTCCTGAAAGCCCTGGGAGACTCTGAGTGGTTCCCGCAGGTAATGTCTGAAGCAGCTCGTCTTATAACTCAAGGGAAGAGAGGCCTCAGCAAATAGACAGAAATGATATTTCAGGAAAAAATATTTTGTTTCCCCGCTACCCAACATTCTGTCCCCATATCGCGTGCCTTCTTTTAAAGGGCTTTCAGTTTCAAGAATCCATACACAATGGGAGGGGGAGGGAGGACAATTCATGGTCACTGGGTTTTTATCTCTGTGCAGTTGAAAGCTTGGTGTCCATAGGATGTTAAGGAGGAGAAAGTTATTTTCAGATGAGAGCTTTTATGTGCAGTAAACTTAATCAGCATGTACTTATAGGGTCCCTGTTCTGTTGTCTATGCAATAAGGACCAATATAGAAGGCAGTTTCTGTAGACTCCCAGAGCCTCTCCATCTTACGTTCTCACTTCCCATTTGTCTCTGTCTATTCTATGTCATAGATTTAGATTCACCCAAACCACCCACCAAAGGCACAGTAGGTGCTTCAGACCTACCTAAGGTTTGAGGAAAATAAGCATATATCCGTCCTTCAGTTTAGAAAACTTTGGGATATGTTTTGTTTTTGTTTTTTAATTTGCCAGAGGGTGCATGGGCTCATCAGAAAGGCATGGGATGAGGCAGGGATGAGAGGGTGAAAAGTACCATAATCCCTTCTCCTTCATTTCTCCCTTCTTTAGGGATTTTGAGCTCTCATGCACATGAGTTCAGCATACATTTCAAGCCACTGGGTCTAGGACTCAAATCGTATAGTCAGTCATGTGGAATGCAGCTGCCTTAACCACCATGCCATTAGGCTGGCCCTAATCTTGGGGTATTTTTAATTGAACTTTTATTGATAAATCAAAGGGAAATAGGTATGTCAGCACAGAGACACCACAGTTTTTCCACAGAAGGAAAGGTATTTGTGATGTGCATATTTTAGACACAGACATTTGACTAAGAGCATCTCTGCAGTATAGCCTTTAGCCTTGTATTAAGGCCCTGACGCCCTATGTTCCTCAGCCCCCTGCCCTGTCTACCTCTATTATGTATCTTGCCTCTCTTAAAAGAATAAAAGGATGTTTCCTTGAGTACATTGAACTACAGGCAAAAAAGCCAAGAAGCAATGTACCCAGGGCAATGACTGTTCTCAAGGTACTTAAACTAACGTATCAGGTTATGTTGTCACTATTAAGGCAATTTAGGATACTTTGAGTACCCATGTGAGGAGCTGATCAACTTCCTTATGTCCCTAGGTTGTGAGCCCCAGCCCCAATCCATCTCCACCACCCAGCCTGTCTGTGTTTCCGGTATATTTAGTGTTCTGCTCCCTGATGAAAAGTGGACCTGCACCAGAAGTTAGGGACTAAAGACAGTGGAAAGTATTGCCCCACTTGGGATATTGGCATTAGCAAAAGTAACTCTTAGCGCAAATGCTAAGCCCAGAGAAATTGTACGTGAGCAATCTCCCATTGCCAGGAAGAACATGTACTTTATTTTTTTATTATTATTGTTTATTTAATTTTATTTGTTCATTCTTTTTTTTTTTTTTTTTTTAATTTGACCAGAGAGAGAGAAAGAGGGAAGTGAGAAAGCAAGCCACCAGGTCTGGGACTCCAGCTGTGGTCGGCCATGTGGGAGTGCCCAGCGCCTTAACCACCACACCACCTGCTGGTTCCCTTATTCTTTTTTTTTTTTTTCCATTGTTTTGTATTTTAAATGGCCTACCTCTGTTTAAAATTCAGCCACTTCTCACTTAACAAGGCACCTGTTTAATGACTACTTTGGACTTAGAGCAGTTCTCCAGTATAGGGAACCCCCTTTCTCAGTCTCTGTGGGTCTTGGGAATTCCCTTTCTCGGCTTTTGTATGTTCCCCCAGGCAGTTAGTATTTGTTGCACGTTTACAATTACGCAAGACTATGTATTTCATTTATAAATTTGTACTTTATTATACACCCACAGTAGTATTCAGAATAAATAAAAATGAGTATGCCAGACTTATATTATTGTGTTGTGGTGTATCTTGGTGCTTCCTAGCATTTATCTAATGTCTCCTTTTTGTATGGATAGAATTACATTATTTTAGTGTATTTTTACAAGATATTTATTGAAAAATACATCCCCTGTGGGGCCACGACACACCACAAGACCATCTACCCTTAAGTTCATTGCTCATTAACCAGTTTGCTTAAATACCAAGTCATTGGAACAGAACTTGGTCGTTAAGTGAGGCATGCCTATTGGGTTTTAAGTTTTGTTTATGTTTTAGTTCAGTGTTAGATTCATACTGCAAGTTATGTCATATAATGCTTAAATTTTTAAAAACTAGAATGTTACCCATTTGGTTTTAAATTTATATGCTGTGCTCACACCCTAGCTCCTTAGGGACTTTGAGTCAATTGGCATGGTTTAAAAAGCAGAGCATACATGTCAGTTTTCTTCCCATTTAATATACAATGTCAATAAGCAGAAATATCTTGTCATTTAAGCATATGATTCACTTACATAAAAAGCTTCTTTTTAAAGTGTATAACTCAGTGCTTTATAGCAAATATCACCAATCTCCAATTCCAGAAAAACTAAGAAAATCTAGAATGGAACTTATTACATCATGAAAAAAAATTTTTAAGTCCACAAACTACCTTAGATCACTTAGAATCGCTATATTTTCCACCCCATAAAATCACATATAGCCTTGGAAACCAGCAGTTAGCGTAATGGCTATGTTGCTGGACTCCCACGTAGTAGACCACGGTTCGTGTCCCGGACCCGGTGGCTTAAAACTCACGCCGGGCGCGTGTGCGTGCGTGCCCAAGATCCCAAGAGGAGAATGGAGGAGAAGGGATTGCGGCGTGACCATCCCCCCTGGGGGGTGATTTCTCGCTTTCTGTCTCTATGTCTCTCTCTCTGTCTGTCTGGCGAGTGCACGCGCCCTACAGTGAAAAATCTCTCCAAAAGAAAAAAAAAATCACATATAGCCTTCTACTTTTGGAGGGAAATACATAATGAAGTAAAATGGTCTTACATATTGCTTTGAACACATTGTTTTAAAATGTGTCTACTTTTTAAAATATATCATTGTTTAATCTTGATTTGACAAGTACTTTAAGTTTTTAATAAACGTTATGTGGTTCTTTTTTTCCAAGTGCTTTGTCCCTAGCTTGTCTGATGATCCCAGGTTGACAGCAGGTCTGTCCTCTGTGCCCAGAAAGTGCTGGTGTCATTGTGACCTCCTTTCCTATCTCTCAGCTTCACAGGATAATGCAGCTGGCTGTGGTTGTGTCAGAAGTACTTGAGAATGGTTCTTCAGTTTTGGTCTGTTTGGAAGAAGGCTGGGACATCACTGCACAAGTAAACTATGATACATATTTTCAAATATTTAGTTCTATATTTGTATTTCAGTTTGGTTATTTCTAAATTCTGCAAATGAACCTTGTGTATAATGATTAATGTGCTTGTGGATGGAGAAAGTCCCATGTTAAACACCACGCAGTAACCATCAGGAAGCTCTATGCCGTGAACTTGGAGCCCTCACATATCCTGGAGCTCAGGCTCAGGACATCAGGCTCCCATCGCCACAGATGCACCACACGCACTTGCACAGACAGAGCCCTCCACACACAGGGATGTGGACCATCCTTCCTGGGCTTCGTCTGTCTTTTCCCTTGCTCTATAAGCCCCCTTTTTACACCAGAGTGAAAAGAAAAAGCATGAGTTCAAACTAGGTTAAGATATTAATGTACACCCATCAAAAAAGTAAAAATAGGTTCGAATTGATCCTTTGGTCTCGTTAATTAATGGAAGGAAAGGCTACAGTCAACAACCTGGCCAGTTAAAAATTAAAATTTTAATTCCCTGAAAGAAAACATGGTAGCCAAAATGAATTTGTGCTGTAGTTTTTACTGGAAGATTTGCAGAATCCATTTTATTGGAGTCATCCTGGAGCAGTTAGTGAGCAAATGTGTCGTCCGAGTAACTTTGCTTGTGAATTTGCCATCATCAAAAGGAATGCTTTCATCTTAGCAACAGGACTTTTTCAGGACTGAAATTAATAAATCCACCCTGTTTGTGCCGTAGGTGACATCTCTGGTTCAGCTACTCAGTGATCCCTTTTATAGGACACTTGAAGGTTTCCGGATGTTGGTGGAAAAAGAGTGGCTCTCTTTTGGTCATAAATTCAGTCAGCGGAGCAGCTTGACTCTCAACTCTCAGGGTAGTGGTTTTGCTCCAGTCTTTTTACAGTTCTTAGACTGTGTACACCAGGTAAGTATGAAGGGAGGGAAAGTACTAGCATTTATTGAGCATTGTGATGCCATGCAAGGTACCTTCCTGTTATAACTCTGATTAACTTGGCCATAGGACATGCTGCAGCCTTAGCAATACACTTCTGGGGAGGGAGAAGGAAAAGAACTAGTTGGTTTCTGAAACTAGGACAGCTGAGCTGGCTACTGAGTTGGCCCATATGAGGCAAGCACCGCTCTGAATTACCGCTCTAAACAAGAGGAGCAAATTTGGACTTGTTCTCCAAGAAGATTTGGACTAGGGTCAGACAGCAAAAATCTCTAGGTAATGGCAAGGCCTGACATCCAGCATATATTCTGCTTTGTTTGGAAGGCCCCTAATTTGTGCCTAAACACGGGTGATAGAACCTAAGCTCTAAAGAAATAATCAGGTCCCAGCCAAGGAGGCCTATGGTGTTGAGAACATGGTTCACTTCTACTAAGTGACCTAATCAGGGCTAATCAAGAGACCAGACAGAGACCTGGTATATAATCTAGTCAAACCCATTTTGGGTGGGAGAGATGTGAGTGCTCTAGGCTGCCTCCTACCTTCCTCCCAGTCACAGCAGATACAGCCCTTTCGATGGGGCCTTGGTCAGGCTTGGACTTGAGAACTAGATGGCACTGGATTTGCAAGTTGAAGACCAAATTGGCCTAAGAAAAACAGGGTTGACATTTCCAGTCCTGTTTTCTCTGCACCACCATGCCATGAGTAGATGAATGGTTTCTGGCATGTCAAACATACTTGCGGGAATATTGAGGCTCTTTGAAATATATTGGCGTCAGGATCTATCGAAAGCAAAGGTGGAAATGTTTTCAGGAGTCAGAATTGGAGCTAGGTCTTCTGAAGGGGCAAGTTGGTATATGGTTAGGGTTTATGTTGTTTTTATTCTATAATCATTTGATCTGCTTTATTAATTCACTGTTTTTTAAATAACAGCTTTGTTCAAGTATAATTTATATACCATATAGTTTATCTATTTAAGGTGTACAGCTCAATGATTTTTAGTACATTTAGAATTGTACATTTACTACAATTTTAGAATACCTTATCACTCAAAAGAAACTTCATATCCATTAGCAGTGACCTTCCACCCTTCTCATCCTGCTGCGTGCATGCACACACACACATACACGCATGGAGACCATGTTTTTGATTGCTCCAGTTCACTTGTTAAAGACCTATTGAATAATTCTATCTGGTTTGTCTGAACAGTTTCTAAAGGTGCTAGTCACAAGGTTGAGCTCGTGCTTTTAAACCCTTTGTAGCAAATGGTGTATTTGCTTTCTGTTGGAATAGTAACCTCGCTATTTATACTCTTTTTGACACATAGAAGGAGAAGTTTGGAGACCGTTGTCTCGAAACTGAAAGCACTTGAGTTCTTCATGAAAGCTCTTCTTATAGTTTTACTATGCTTGCCAAATGCACTAAGCTATTTCCTCCCTCCATATACCACCACTACTAACAATAATTGCTAATTACTCTGTTTTGGAAACTGTCCTGAATACCATATATAGTTAAAAATAAAAATTTTACAATTCTTTCTGAGTAATCTTTGAATGGTTACCTGACCCCTTTCATTTGTATTTCCTTTTTTTTTTTTTTTTTTAAGAATTATTTACCGTGGGGTCGGCTGGTGGTGTGGTGGTTGAGGCACTGGACTCACATGTGGCTGGCCACAGTTTGAGTCCCAGACCTGGCAACTTGCTTTCTTCCTTTCCTCTCTCTTTCTCTGTCTTGTTCTGGTCAAATTAAAAAATAATAATAGATGATGACTATGATTAAATAAAAATTATTTTTAAAAGAATTGTTTACCTTTTATTATTAGTATTATTGTTCTTGTTATTATTTAATTTGACCAGAGAGAGAGAGGAAAAGTGAGAAAGCAAGCCATCAACTCTGGGACTCGAACCTCAGTCAACCATGTGAGAGTCCAGCACCTTAACCACTATGCCACCTACCAGCCCTATCATTTGTATTTCTAATGTATCGTTTACAAACTGCTTTGGTAGCATCTCTAACACTACAGATGACCCTTGAGTGATACAGGTTTGAATTGCAAGTCAACATAAATTTTTTACAGTAAATACTGTAAATGCTTTTTCTTAGTATTTTCGTCACATTTTCTTTTCTCTAGCTTACTTTATTTTAGGAATACAGTATGTAGTACATAATAACATACGAAATATGTTGACTATTCATGTTATTGGTAAGGTTTCCTGAAAGTAGTAGGCTATTAGTATTTATGTTTCGGGGAGTCAGAAGTTACACACATGGACCCAAGCACAGTGTCACAAACAAGAGTGTGCTGCTGCTTAGTGGCGAGGCCATGCAGGATGCCTAGGTTCAGTTCCTGGCACAAACTAAACAGATCAGGCAGGATTGTACACACCTGTGGTCCTAGCTAACTGGCAAGCTGTGGCGGAGGATTGCAGTGTGGAACAGACCCTGTCAGAAATCCTGTGTTGACCAGCCATGGTAGCATGGCAGTAATGCAACACTCAGCAGTGCTGAAGCCACATGGGAAGGCACCGAGGTCTCCCTGCACACACCAGCATATACAGGCCCATAATCCTGGCTGGCCGAGGCTGGGGCTGGATAGTGGCACGAGGACCCTGCTGGAGGTATTTGTGTATCTGTCTGTCTCTGTCTCTCCTATGGAAGAAATAAATGAATAAACTTTAATAATTTGGTTTTAAACTGCTCCCCTCGGGGCCAGCAGGTGGCACGGTGGTTAAGACACTTGACTGCCACATGGCCAACCATGATTTAAGTCCCGGACCTGGTGCCTCACTTTCTCACTCCCCCCCCCCTTCTTTCTCTCTCTCTCTGGCTAGCACACATGTCCTGTGGCAAATTTTAAAAATAATGATAATAACAATGATAAATAAAATTAAATAAATAATCGATCCTGAAGACAAAGCACGAAGCAGTGGCTGCCAAGATGTAGAAGTGGTCCAGGCAAAGCAAAAGCTGGCCAGTCAAGAGCAAAGGTCATGGCCACAATTTTTGAGATGCCAAAGGCATTTTCTCATTGACTTTCTGGAGGGCCCAAGAATGATAACATCTGGTTATTATGTGAGTGTTTGGAAAAGGTTAGCCAAAGCTTTAACAGAAAAACACCCGGGAAGGCTTCACCAGAGTCCATCTGTACCACAACAATGGTCCTCTCATCAAACACAGATAGTTAGTTGTAGGAGAATTTCTATGGAAAATCACCAGATATCTATCTTATAGTCCTGTTTGGCTCTTTCTGACTGCTTAAGAACTCTTTCAAGGGTAACCATTTTCTTCAGTTAATAATGTAAAAAGACTGCATTGACATAGTTAAATTCCCAGGACCCTCACTTTCCTAGGGATGAACTACATAAATGGCTGGTATTGTCACTTACAAAGGTTCTTGAACTTGAGGGAACTTATGTTGAGAAATGAGGTTTATATTTTTTATTTTTCATCTTTTTCTTTTTTTTTTTTTTGGTTTGCTTTTGGTTGTGTGCACTTGCCAAAGAGAGACAAAGAGGGGAGAGGAAGAGAGAGAGAGAGAGAAGTGAATCTCTCCCTAGGGGAGATGACTACATCACAGCTCTTTCTCCTCCACTCTCCTTTTGGAATTTTGAGCATGTACACACATGCACCTGGCATGTTTTTCAAGTCACCAGTCCGGGCCTCAAACTGTACAGTTGGTGTGGGATCCAGCTGCCTTAACCACCATACCACCTGACTGGCCCTGTTTTTTATCTTTTCCATTTTTGAACAAACTTTTTGAAGTCTACTCATACTCATATGCTACATGGATAAAGGCTAAAGAAACTGTGATACATCCATACCATGAAACTCGACAATAAAAAGGAATAAACTATTGATGCATAGCAGCAACCTGAACGGATCTCAAGAATATTATTTTGAATGAAAAAGAAAAAGCAATCACAAACGGTCACATACTCTGTGATTTGATTTATATAACATTCTGAAAACAACAAGAACATGAAAATAGAGAATAAATTATTGGTTCCCAGGGTTTTGATAGTGGAGAAGAAGGGAATGGATGTGACTCTAAAAGAGTACCTTGAGAAACAAACCTGTGTCCATCCACTGGTGAACAGATGAACAAATACCAGAATATTCATATACTAGAATACTACTCAGTGAGCAAAAGGGATGAGATAATAATCTGTCCAACAACATGACGAATCTTATGATAATTGAAAGAACATGAGGTCATTGAATGATCTTATGATCATGATGAATCAGTGAAAGAAGCAAGGCAGAAATTACTGCATACTGTATTAGTACATTTACATGAAATTCTTTTTTCTCTCTTTTTTTTTTTCCCAAGAGAGAAATTTTTGCTATAGGGCACATGTGCCTGCCAGAGACAGAAAGCAAGAAATCACCCCCCAGGGGAAAATGACCAAGACACAATCCCTTCTCCATTTTCCTCTCAGGATTTTGGTTATGTATGCACACGCACCGAGCGTGAGATTAAGCCACCAGGTCCTGAACTCGAACCACAGTCGACTACGTGGGAATCCCGTGGTGTGACTATTACGCCATCTGCTGGTCGCTATGTGAAATTCCTAAAAAGGGTAAAAAGCAGTAGTAACTAACAGCAGGTTAGTGGTGAGACCAGTGGTCAGGGGAGGGGATTGACTATATGGCCATAAACACATTTTAGGGTTGGGGAACTATACTGTCTTCATTATGGTGCTGATGGTTACCAAACAGTGTACAGTGGCCAAAACTAATTAAACTGTACACTTAAAATAGAGACTTTTTTTTTTTAATTTACTAAAGATCATGTGTCCTCACCATCAAGAAGTAAAGTGTGAAATTGTGCTTCTCTCTCCCCCATGAGGAATGGCCATGCCGTTATCCCTTCTCCATTTCTCCCTCCTTCTGGGGTTGTGAACACATACACACCTAGTGTGTTTCTCAAACCACCGGGTCCAAGACTTAAACCACACAGTGGGCCATGTGGAATC